GTTTTTGAGATGGCTAGCAATGAATTCGACACTGCCCACAGCACTTTGTATCATTGGTGTCACCTCCTTGTGCGTGGGTCGATATCGAGCGCTCCGAGTACTCTTTCCACCACAGTCTCTACTCAATGATAGGCGAAATGGCAGCAAGCTGAGAGAGGTGCTCTAAAAAATCTTCAGTCAATTTCTAAAATCTGTAAAAAATAAAAAATTTCAAAAAAATTTTTACCAGCAGAGAAAAGTTTCTTACCATGATTTTGTTCAACTGATTAAAAACTATATCTTCATGCAAGTTTGGGACTGAGAAAGTTATCACTGCTGGTAATCAATATACACAATTATTGGTTTGAAAAAAACATACAAATAATTGATCGAAAAATTAATGCTTATTTACTTCCTCTCCTTTTCTGTTGCATAACGTAACGCTTTTATGAATTTCATATACATTGTACTTCTCCCACCTTCTACTTAAATTTATTTATCCTTGGCTCTTTCTGCACTGCTCCTGTTTATTATTATCCCAAATATCATTCCTTATTAAGAAAAACAGATGTTGGGAATGAGGGTGAGTGCACAAGAAAAGTGAGACGATTTACATTCAGCGCTAGATTATTCAATGTCTGCAAACCCTAAAGTTTTCGTTGCTTGAGTTTTTCGTTGGCAGATTTATCGAACGCCTTTTAAGCAAAATTTGAAATATCTAAGCTGATTTTTTCTTCTTACTTTTTTTGCCACCTATTTCAATTTCTGTTCGTTATTGTGGTATTTCTGTACAAACAAACGTAGGGCTACCACCTTTTCCGCATCACTGGTGAAACTCAAAACGTTTTTGCTCATAAAATTTTTCGAGAGAGTCTTATTGATGCTGGCGAAATGCTGCTAGTCAAAGTATTTTCTCGCATCTCCATCTACCATAGGTAGTGCAATATTAAGATGTAGAAACTTTTAAATTTTTCAATATGCATTTCTCGTTGTGTTAATAAATTTGATATTATGTATTTTTTTTTTATAAAATCTATATGGGATTAAAAAATTACTGCGATGGCGTTGGAAATATTGGCAGGTACTCGAATCTGAACCGGTGGCGGTCGCTGCATGCATAAGTACTTCGGCAGCCATTCAAGAAACATTTGCTTGGCCCAGTTTGGCATCTTATGCGTTGATGGCGAACGATAATGTACATTCTGAAACATTTTGAGAACAATAATTTTCAGGAGTCGTCAATACATAGTCAGTACAAAGTTCCTTTTACTACTGTGCTGAGGACAACGACATTGTTACCCTCCTGCTATGAGGTTATCACAACTTCTCATCCGTGGTATCTGTGCTTAGGGGCAAGGTCTCCTTGTTTGGCCGCTTAGTGATCACTTTCTAGCTCTTAGGTACCATCTACCAATGGATAAGACGTAGTACTCGCCTTATTCACAACCTGCCAATTATCAGTGGGAAACACCCGAAAAAAACTAGACGTTCACTCAGAAAGGTTCTGAAATCTTATGCTTATACATCGTACAGTTGGTGCCTGCTAACTGGAAGTACAGTGCCTAGTAAAAGAAAGATTAGAAGTTTGAAAAAAAAAATATGCTCAGTAGGATAGGCTTACCAATGTGATAACTGTAACAATAACTGATAAAGTGACCAGTACCATTGTAAATAACAAATACTTTCCAATCAACGGAATGACCAACGACGTGGATGGAATTATTTCAACTAGAAATGCAAATTCACTAACAGCAGCTAATATCTGTATTTTCGAGAAAGAAAGGCCAAGAATTTATCAAATTCTTTATTTTTCATGTGCTTTAAAAATCACCTTGTTTACCTATACCAACTCAACTTACTGCCTTCGACGCTTTTTTAGGATACATATGCCATGCTTGAAAATTTTTTTTGATACTTTTTTTTTGATACTTGCAGCTTTAAAATTTTTTGATACTTTGATCAAGTAGCTGTTTCATTGTTACTTTTCTCCTCGTTGTTGATAAACTGCAACTTCTCCATTCTTCCCTATTTTGCGTCTTTCCCATTTTGAGTTTTACAATGCAAGTATGAAAGGTTGCGCAAAAGAAATTTTTGTATAACATTGTAAAAAGTACCAAGAAGCAAGAAGAATACAGTCAGTGAGATTAGAATTGATATGCAAAATGAAATTTTTTCACCACCATCCGACGGCAGATAAAATACTAGTGCTGTCAAAAAGCTAAATTATAACGAATTCAAAAATTTTAACTATATTTATCGAGACTGAAAAAAAATTTAAGAACTAGACGTGATACGTTTCTTCTCGATTACTTCTTGCTGCGCTTTCGTCAAAAAGGCATTGATTCAGTGATTCAGTACTCTGAGACCGAACTTCGGTATCGCAATAGAATAAACTCTTTCGGGATACTTAGACAAAAAATCCAGACCCGAAGCATTATCAAGGCGTGCAGGCGCATGAATTTTCATAGAACCACTAAAAAATTCGAGGCGGCAATTTTGTTTCCGAAACAATATTTCTGAGACGTCCTTAAAAATCGCTTTTTCAAAAAAACAAAATTTTAGATCATTACAAAAGCGCAAATACCACAAAATTTTTTAAAAAAGTTTTAAAAAATATAAAAGGCTCGGTTAAAAAATCTGACTGTTAAAAACGAGCCTGATTCCAACAATCGGAAAAATGAGATTCACTGTATAAAATAATGTTTTTCGGCGCAAACGTATCTCATATGTAAGGTCAATAAATGGCGATTCGCAACATGGATACCTAGAATCTTAATTTTTTTTTAATTAGCCGAAAAAAATGCGCCAGGAAATTTATATTTTTTTTAAAAGCGAAGCTGTTTTTGTTTCCTTATGTCTTTTTGCATCTGTGCAGTGCAAAAAAGCATATTGTCGAGGGGTTGCCCTGTGTGTATGTTTGTATTAGTGTTTGCGTGCTTGCATTAAGTTTTCATCTTGAGATCTACAAAACTACAAGGCTGGAACTTTTGCAATTTAATCTACACCTACGTAGGGACTCTATCTTCAAAATACCACTCACTTCCACGTGGCCCTCACTTATGGACACGTGAAAGATTTTTTTGCAAGAAAAAGATTTCAACAACTACTCAGGCCAGAGGGCTGAAATTTCAGGAATTTGTCCATTGCCCATGTCTAAACAAAGATTTTAAATTCAACCTTCACGCGTCTCTGGGTCTCACACATGTATAATTTTAAGCTTACATTGACATCATGCCAGCCCAAGAATTAATCTGATCATAAAATAGTGCTTTTGCCTACTGCAGGTTTTGCATAAAGTGGTTTTTGTTAGTTTTGTGCGAACGATTATTCAAATTTCCTTGATTAAGCTGTACATCCGGAAAAAACAAACCTTTTCTCATGGCGTTTGCCAGGAACACCGAGGATATCCCATTCCACGCTCGGATAATAATCACTTAGATCAATTCCTAATGAATTAAAAGTGCATTAAAAGTGGCGCAGAAATCCGCTAAAATCGCTTGGGGCATTGCTTTTACTTGGGTGCAAGCATAAGTCACGCTATCTTCTTCAAAACTTTCATTTTCTCATGATTCAAGAGTTAAATCACGACGACCGAAGGGAATTAGTAGATATAGAAATAAAAATGGAATATTAATAATCAACTTCCCGAAGGCAAGGTGCCTCATCGTGGCCGGGAAGTGGCAACGCTTAGAGATGAGGTGGTGG